TGCGCCATAAGGTGCCTTGGAAGGCCTTAGTTTCCCCGTCGATAAGAGGTCATCGAGTTGTTTTCGTAACTCTTTAAGTTCGGATGGAGCCATTCGGTACGGTACCATTGCTGGCAGTTTGGCTCCTACTTCCAACTCGATCCGATGATCCACTTCCCTTCTTGGAGGTAACTTTTCCGGTAACTTTGCGGGCATCACGTCCTTGTTTTCTTCAAGGACTGTCTCGATGGCCGGTGGGATTGGCTCAAGTCTCCCAATCTCGTTTTCCACCTTCATCACGGCCAAAAACGTTGGCTCACCCTTCTTCATCCCCTTGGTGAGCTGCATTACCGAGAGTTGTCTCGTCCCCTCGGACTTCTCCTCTATGGTTGGAATCATGCACTATGATCCTTTCTCGAGGATGCACACTGAGCTTAGTGCGGACAAAGGAATCGCCATGACTTGCCTCATGAAATCCATACCCAACACCACTTTGAAATCGTCCATGGGGATGACTGAGAAGTTTACTGGCCCGCTCCAACTGCCTAGTTGCATCTCAATCCCGTAAGCTACCCCATTGACGGGTTGTGCCTTTGCATTCACCGTTTTTATCCAACCATCTCTCTTGGTCCACTCTACCCCAAGTCTCACAACTTCATCTTCAGCCATGAAGTTATGAGTGCCCCCCGTGTCAACCATTACTCGGGTTGGCTTCTTGTTCACTCGTGCCTCTACGTACATGAGCCCTTTGCTCATTGGTTTTAACGTTGGACCGGCTTTAAGAGCGTTAAGGAGTTGCAACGATCCCATCTTGCCCGACTCTGCCTTTTGGGTCTCACCTTTGCGATTCTCCATTATCGCTGACAATGATCCCATCTTGGGGCAATTTCTCATTCGGTGTGGCCCCTTGCACACAAAGCACCCACCTTTTGGGACAAAAGCCTTCTTCTTTGCCTCAAACTCTTCTCGTCCTGATCCCTTTTCATCACTCCTCAAGTTGGATGGACGGCTACTATCTCGCCTTTCTCCCCCACTTTTGGCCACGACCTTCTCCTTCTTCTTGAAGGGCTCGGAAGGATTTTGGGCACGAAAGTCATTCAACGACTCAGCTACCGCAATAGCTTCGTCTACGGACTTGACACCCCTTTGTTGTAACTCTTGTTTTGCCCAATTTTGTAGCCCATCGGTGAAGTAGAAGACGAGGTCCTTGTCGGA